CGGTCCCTGGCGGCTGGGCACTGCCGGCCTGGTGCTGGCAGCAGCCCTGGGCCCAGCATGGGGCACGGCCAGGCTGTCAGGGCAGCTCAGCATCAGGGTGACGAGGAGCGCGCACCAGGCTGGCGGTTCAGGGCACCCCAGCATGACGCGGGCGGAGGAGGAGGGGGGCCTGGGGCCGGAGACCAGGGCTGCAGCCTGGAGCTGGGAAGACAGGGAAGGCCATTTGGGGACAGGGGTGTAGGGGGGCTGCGAGGGGCACCGCTGTGCCTGGGCCACATGCACCCCAGCTAGGCAGGTGCCAGGGCTGTGGGAGAGGGGTGGGTGCAGGGCATGGGGGTGGGGGGGTGTCAGCCCCTCTGCCCCCCCGCCCATCCCCACACTGCAGCGGTGCTGACTGGGCCCCGCAGGCTGGGTCCGGCTGCAGGAGGGAGGAGTGCACGAGGCTGCAGATGATTGAATTAAGGGACCCTGGTGCTGAGAGATGCCTGATTAGCACCTGCACAAGGAGGGAAGGGAGCCCGGGGCACAGACAAGGCACAGCTGGCTGCCAGGGACTGGGAGGGGGCAGGGCTGGCAGCAGGCAGGGCTGGGGAAAAGGGACCCGGTTCACCACCTCCGCCCCCAGCATGTGAATGGCTCCCAGGCAGGAGCCGTGGGGAGCGTGCATGGAAGTGATGGCCTCCCTGCAGTGCTGTGCCGTGCTGCGCAGGCCACCCCATCTGTCCAGGCTCCCGGACCCCTGCCGTGCCCCCCCAACTTTGCTCAGACCCTGGCCCCCGCAGGCAGCAGCCTGTGTCCAAGTCGTGAAACGTACCACAGTTTATTGGTGCCAGTGCCCCCCCCCTGCCCCCCAACACAGACAGACACAGACATGGGGAGACGGGCGGCCGGGGCTGCTTGCCCAGAGTTGCTGCCCAGAGACAGGATCTCTGGCCGGGACAAAGCAAGGACCCGACACCCCTCCTCCCCACCCCTGTGCCTGCAGGTGCAGTGCCCTCTGGGGCAGGAGCACCTCCCCCTGCCCGCTGCCCCCCACCTGGCTGGGCTCGCCAAGGCTCCCTCTCCCCACAGGTAACAGGGTCTCCTGCAGCACCTGCACAAGTCCGCCCGCGTGGCTTGGGCATCAGTTCCAGGCCTTGCTGCAGGCACAGGCTCGGGGCCTTCACGCCTGCCTCCAGCCCCACTCAGTCTCTCCAGGCACGATGTCCGAGCCTGGGGCCTGCCCATGTCCCTGCAACCTGCCCAGGGCAGGGTGGGGGCTCATGTGGGGCCCGGTGCTGGTGTGCCATGGGGGGGCTCAGAAGGTGCTCTCAGCCACCCCCGGGAAGTCATAGGCCAGCTGGCGCTGGCCAGGGGCAAGGCTCTCGCTGGGGCTGGGGCTGGGGCTGGCACCTGTGCGCTCGAGGTAGTGGGAGCTGGTGTGGGCGGTGGGGAGCCCCCGGCCTCCGTTGATGTTGGTCACCAGCCGGTGCTTCTCGCAGGTGCTGCCGCCCCCGCGGGGCTGCGGCGTGTGGCTGTATGTGTGCTTGTACTCCTCGGCCAGGTCCTTCCCGAGCTTCCAGCGCTGCCACCGCTTCAGCAGCTCCGCCTGCACCTGCCAATGGCCCAGCACCCTCAGCATGGCCCTGGGGCAGGTACCCCCGCCTGGCTATGACCCTGCAGCCCCTGCCCCGGCTCTCACCTCCTTGTTCACAAAGCAGTAGAGGATGGCCACCAGCATCCCCTGGAGCAGAGAGAAGACAGCACTTGAAGGCAAGGCCTGGCTACGCCTCCACCACAGCACTGGCAAGGAGGGAGCTCCCTCTCCCTGCCCGGGCACCAGGCGTGGGGCTCACCTGGAAGGAGCTCAGGAAGAGGTCGAAGAAGAGCTTGACATAGCGCAGGGTACCCTGGGCGTGCTCGTCCGTGACGAAGGCAAACACCGCCTCGTGGATGCCCAGCAATGGGATCAGCGTCAGTGTGGACTTGGCCAGCCTGCCAGAGACCGAGCCCAGCCTCAGCGCCAGCTGGGCCCTGCTCCCTGACCCCTCTGCTGCAGGAGGGCAGGGCCCTGGGTATACGCGTGCACACGTATGCGGGCACTCAGGACACAGAGTCCAGGGCAGATTTCCCAGACCTCCAGTTCCCTCTCACTGCCCTGGCCCCAGCACCCCCCTCCCAGCTGCGGCAGAGCCCAGGTCTCTGCAGTGCCCAGGCCCTGGCCTGGGGAGGGGGCACAGGGCTGGGGGGCAGGAACGCACCGAAACTTGTAGTCCGTGTAGCGCATCTGGTGTGCGCGGAGCTTGGAGACCAGGATCTGGATGATCCGGATGAAGATGAAGAAGTTGATCTGCGAGGGGAAAAGCTGTGAGCAGGGTGAAGGGTGGGGCAGGCCCGGGGCAGCCAGACCGGGCGGGGGCAGACGGGGTGGGCGGGTGACTTACCAGGATGGCCAGGAACACGGGGAAGCGGAGGATCCACCAGAAGCCCATGTTGTTGTTGGTGCTCCAGCACCTGCAGGTGGGGGCAGAGCTGTGCTCGGCGGGGAGCCCCTGCCCTGCCCTGCGGTGGTGCCAGGCAGCTCCGGGCACCACGGTGGACATGGACAGCTCATTCCCCACCCAGCCACGCCTCCCATGGGCTCCTGCCATGCCACGTGCTGCCCTGGGGTACGTGCATGCAGTGTGCCCCACGTGCGCACACTGCAGTGCCAGGCAGGGGCACTGCGGACCTCATCCCCCAGTGACCCAACCGCAGAAAGGCTCAGACGTGCAGCCCGTGATCTCCATTAGCTGACAGTGTCCAGGCCAGAGGTGCCCCCACCCCAGTGCCGGGCTCCCCAGCCACGTGCCATGCCCCGCACGCGAGCACTTACTGAATGTTCTCGTACAGAAACTTCATGACTACCCAGGGCACGAGGAACAAGATGGGGGCCCCTGGAATGGCAGGAGAGGCAGTGGCCAGTGAGAGACCTCCAGGGCAGGGGTAGCAGTTCCCAGCCCAGGGTGGAAGCAGGTTCCTGGGCCCCACCCCACCGTGGCCCGGTGCCCACTCACCCCAGCCGATGCACAGGTAGAGGGTGAAGTAGCTCCGCTCGGAGAAGACGGCCAGCACCAGCAGGTTGTGCAGGTAGATGCCCTCCACAAGGAGCCAGCAGTAGTTGGCCACGATGCCATATTGCATGAGGGCAGTGGCTGCCCGGCAGCCAGCGGCAGCCTGGGGGAGGAGAAGACATCAGCGGGGCACTCGGAGCACAGCCGGGGTGCGGGGGGCAGGGGGGGTCACCTCATCGCTGAACCAGGTGCCAACATTGTAGCCATCGATTTCCTCGCTGTAGCGAGTCTTGAGCAGGGCGTCGATCACCAGCACTGAGATGCCCTTCAGGACGAAGGAGGCGAAGAGGTTCATGTGGATGTAGTTTCGCATGCAGTGCAGCTTGCTGCCAAGAGTGGGAGCTACCCGTCAGCCTCCGGCAGGGGCAGGAGCAGGGGCAGTGGCAGGGGCTAGTCCTGCCCCAGCACCCTGCTTCCAGGCCCCAGCTCCCCCTGCCTGGTACCTGAAGCCCAACAGGATGGTGAGGGCGAGGAGCAGCGTGCCCAGCGACACAGAGTAGCCCACCGTGTACATGATCTTGAAGCTGCCATAGGTCTTGGCGAATTTATCCTGGAGAGAAAGAGGGAGAGAGACGCTGGTCTGGGCTGGGGCATGGAGGCCAGCCTGTGCCTCTGTGGGGGGCAAAACCAACAGAAAAGAGGGAGCCAGACAGACTGCGCTGTGGCTGAGGCCCAGCAAACTTGCTACACCTCTGGAAGCTGAGGGCACGTCCCGAACTGTGCAGTCTGACCTGGGCTTTGAGGTCCTCGGGGTCCATCTCACACTGGGTGGCGTCGCGCAGGGACTGCCCTTTGGGGCCCTTCAGCCACTGCCCATCCGGCCCGCACGTCTTGAAGACATATCTGTGCTTCACTGTGGGGATGGCATATCGTCAGAGGGCAGCTGGGCTGGCTGGGCCCAGGTGGGGCTCACGTCCAGCCCAGCCCCTGCTCCAGGCACCATCCGCTCCATCTGAGCCAGCCCAGTGCTGCTCCTGACTGCTCTGGGAACGGCCCTCACGTGCAGTGGTGGCCGCAAGACCCAGAACATCCTCCGTCATCTCCGACTGGCCCCACGTGAAGCAGGGCCACAAGGTCCCTGCTACTGTTGGGCCCTAGAGCAGACTGGGGGCGGAGGGTTTCTCGCGGCTGCCCCTGCTCCTGTGCAGAACGAGGCCTTCGGGGGAGCGGCCGCAGAAGGAAACACTAGATTCTCCAGCTGCAAGTGCCACTGGCCACGCACAGCTACAGCCACGGCCGTTGGCCCAGCAGCAGCGAGCGGTTTAAGCTCAGAATCGCTGCAGCTTACCACCCCAGGATGGCCGCCCGCCCTGCCAGGGAAACCTACCCACGCTTGGGTGCTAAGCTCTAAGATCCTCCTGACATCAGCAGATGGGAACCTCAGCAGAGGATGCCAGAGGGACCCATCTCAGAGCAGAGCTCCCGCTCAGCCCCTCTTCGAATGCAGGCTGACACGACTTGGTAGAAACTCGGACACGTCCGGCCAGAACGGAGACATAATCCCGCGTCTCCTGGTGCTCAGCCAGAACGCACCACCCTGACCCTGCTCTGCTGCCCTCAGACTGGCTCCCCGCCTCCACGAGTGTCTCCTGCCTGCAACTCAGTTCCTTTTACTCTGCGTCCCTTGGCCTCACTCATGCTTACAGGGCCGGAGTTCAAGCTAGCGCAGCTATGGACTGCCTCAAGCGACCGTCGCGCAAGCTGGAAGGATTCCAACTTAACACAGAGATCTACATGCTGCAAGCTCAGGACGTGGAGGCACCAGCCACCGTGGAGCCCCCTGCCTCTGGCCTGGCCCTCGCCTGGCTGGCACAGAGCCCCTCACTGCCTGGGCCCGTGTCTCCTGGGAGCATGTCCCCACAGAGCTGTGCATTGCCCAGGGGCTGCCCCAGTTTCCCAGCCTCCATGTGGCCAGTCCCTGCTTCCCAACCAGCCCCACAGCCATCAGGAGGGCAGAGCAGGGCCTGCCTGTGCTCTTACCTTTCCGGTGCCAGGGCAGGAACCAGGGGCAGGAGGCGTTGATGGTGGCGTTGGGCAGTGTGTCAGGCCAGCAGGAGAAGTTGTCGAAGGTGCGGTTACAGACCAGCTCTGCAGCGAGACGGACCCTGAGAAGCTGCAGCGCCTCTCTGGGCCCTGGGGCAGCGTCTGGGCTTGTGCCTTCGGGCCCCGGCATAAGCCTGATGCCCCTGCCCCCCCTCTCCCCACCCAGCTCCTCCCTCTGCAGGGAAATCCCTCTCTCCCGCTGCAAGCCCTGCCCGGGCACAGAGGGCCAAGCGCCAGGGCGCCCCGGCTCCTCCCGGACCCCGCAGAGCCAGGGGGCCTGACCCGTGGGCGGCGGCTGCAGGCTCATGTTGTGGTGACACTCCTCCCTGTAGGCCTGCCAGCTCTCGAAGAGGAAGTCCGTGACCTGGGCCGAGGGTCCCTGCGGGGGCACAGGGGTGTCAGAGCCCGGCCGAGCGGAGCCTGCGCCACCCCCCGAGGGGTCCCTGCAGCCGTGCTGCCTGCCCCTCCCTCCCGGGCCTACCTGGCAGTGGGAAAGCAGGGCCAGCAGGAGGGCGAGCAGGCGCCGCCGGGACATGTCTCCGCCGGGCACCCGCGCATCGGGGCCTCGCTGCCGCCTAG